TACACCTTAAACAGTGCGCAGATGATGCCGGACTCGTAACGTCGCCTCCAGTTAGACGTAACGACGCGACACTTGAAAGGGTGACACAACTTCTGCCGCTCATTTACAGCGTGTCGTTTCTGTACACACTTGTTTTTGTCATTGGGAGCGAGCCGCTGAACAGATGTGTGGTGCAACCGTTGTCCTCCTAAACCCACATCTGCGTGCCGTAATCTGCAGGTCCGGCTGAATCACAATAGTCTGACCTGTCTGTGTGCGTAATCAGAGCAGGGTTAGGGGGGGCAGGATTCCCGCCGGTGGATTAGTGGGGTTTTTCCTGCATACACATTAAAAAAACGAAGATTGCTGCTGCTTTTTCAAACTACCTATTTAAGATGAGCTGAATCAACTTAATTCTTGCATTTTCTTTTGGGACAACTTCATTGTTTTATGTTCAGTTTGTTTAAATGTGTAAATTGAAGTTAACTTGATCCATTTGTGTTGGGATAACATGAAGGAATTGAGTGGATCCCAGGATTTTGACAGTGCCCTCAAAAAAGATTGTTGCTGCTTGTTCAAACTACTGAAGATAAGCTGAATCAACACAATTCTTGATTTTTTTTGGATCAACTTATTTGTTTCATGTTCAATCTACTTACATTTGGGAAGCATTTAAGTTGACTGAATCTTTGTGTTGGGAGGTGTGTGGAACTAGCATTTTTAGTGTTGAGAATTACGAGGCAGGCAGCTCCATCATGTTTGGTATCACCTTTTGACACATTCAGACAGGCAGTCATTGATTTGTTTTACTTTGATAAGATTTTAAGCTGTGGCTTTGTCGCATTTTTGCTGCTTTAAATAAATAAATAATGTAAAAATAATAAATTTGTAAATAAATAAATAAATAAATAAATAAAATTAAATAAATTGAATCAATTGAAATAAATAAATACAATTCAATCAATAAATAAAAAAATAAACTTAATATAAATCAATTAAATAAATAAATAAAATTAAATATAAATAAATAAAATAAATGAAAAATAAATAAATTAAATTAATAAATTAAATGAGAAATTTATTAAATAAAATATAAATAAAAGTAAATATAAAAATAACAAATATATAAATGAAAAAATATATATAAATAAAATGAATTAAATAAATAAATATAAATAAATAAAATTAAATATTAGTACTTAAATTTAAATAAATAAAAGTAAATGAATATAATGGATTTATTAGATAAATGTAAATATTTTAAATAAAAATAATTAAAATTATCAATTAAATTCATTCATTTATCCATTTTCTTTTCGGCTTTGTGCCTTTATTAATCTGAGGTTTCCTCAGCGGAATGAACCGCCAACTTCTCCAGCATATGTTTTACACAGCGGATGCCCTTCCAGCTGCAACCAATGTCTGGGAAATAGTTAATTAAATAAATAAATAAATATAAATAAAATATTTAATTAATAATAAATAAAATTAATTAAATAAATTTATTTTAAAAATAAATAAAATAATATAAAAGTAAATATTTTTTCCACTTTATATACAGTTTAAGAAAAAATTATTCACCTTTTTTTCCAGGTGATATATAGAAAATGAATCTTTTTTTTTTTCTTCTGAAAATATTATTATAATTTTTTGAGTGAAAAAAGTTTAAAATATTTATATTTTTCAATATTTTAATACTTTTAGAAATATTGTACAAAATAAACCACTGTTGTCCAATGGCTTGCCTTATGAACCTAATTAACCTTGTCTTACCTAGTGTCTTACAAACCTAGTGTCTTACAAAATAACAACAAAAATATTTACTGGCATCAAAACTGCCAAAAAAAAATCCCTGTTAAACTGAACTGGGGGAATATTTTAATATAATATTTTATATAAACATTTCACAGGAGAGCAAATAGTTTCAACTTACACTATTTCATTACGTTTAACGTAAAAAATAAGATAAGAATAAAGCAAAACGTGATTGTTTTATGCGACAAAAACCTCATGATCGAGATTCCACCTCGTTTTGAGTCTGGAGAAACGGGGATTATCCCGGTGTGTTTGATGGAGAAGCGGGAAATGAAAAGGCATGTTGTGCAGCAGCAGTTCTGATGTTGTTTATGGGGTTTTACAGCGAGTTGCTCGGGGTCTGCGGCTCGATTAGGGCACTTTTCCCCTCCGCCTCGCAGTCGCATCAAAGACTCCCATATCCTGTCCCACACTCTCCCGCCCCGACGCCCCATCCCCCAGACCCAGAGCTGTCTGATAATCTCGCACAGAGTGTGTATGTGTATGTGTGTGCGTGAGCTTTGTATTGGCTGGAGACTGAGACGTTTTTTGTCGTCAAGCATGAGACTCTTCTTAATTCAAAGGGGGGAATGAATGTCAAGCGCTGATATGATCTTTGACGGGATCAGTCTAACAGTCTGGATGTGAGTGTGTGAAGGTGGGGGGAAAGGTTGCGTGTGTATGTGTGTGTTTGTGTTCCCGCCTGTATTGCTACAAGACTCTACATGTTGGGTAATTCAAAGCGTCTGCCATAAACACACTGTCTGTATCCTGAGCAGGACATTCTTGGACATAAACACGTTTTATTGCGTCAGACGGGTTCCTCTGAAGATTCCAATCACACTTTGATTATGAAGAGATACTTTGAGGCACGTTCAAGTTGTTGGTGATGTTTCCAGGACTGTGTAATGCGCCCTCTTGACTGAGTCTGTATGGATTAAGACCTTTGGACAAAAGCATTGTGTAAAAGAGAGAAAAAAAAAATAGGTAGACGGCGTACGCTGTCACTCAATACATTCCAACCCTAGTGACCCCCACCCACACACACACACACACACACACACATACACATGCATGCATGCACAAAGAAAAAACACACACTGCAAAAATGTGTCCTCCTTTCTAGACCAAATATCTAAAAAGTTTTAAATCAAGAAGTATTTTCTGGCTAGGCTCTAAATGCTGTGTTGTTTTCAAGAAATGAGTCAAAATTAGTTCATTAAAACAAGCTAAATAATCTGCTAGTGTGGCCAGCAAAATAATATTATTTGTCTTTTTAGCGTGAGATTATCCAGCTATCCACATTTGGCAGATTATTTAGCTTGTTTATGCAAAACTCACTTCATTTTGACATCTTAAACCAGACAAACGCTTTCTGATTTGAGCATTCTTAAATATTCAGAATAGAAACTAGACCAAAACCCTGTGGTAATTCTAGTTTTAACAGTAAACAAGCTAAATAATCTGCTAGTGTGTCCAGCAAAACAATATTATTATTCTTTTTGATGTGAGATTATCCAGCTATCCACATTTGGCAGATTATCTAGCTTGTTGTAAGGGCAGAACTCACTTAATTGTGACACATTTGTGAAAACAAGACAACATATAATGCTTGTCAATGAAAAAACTCCTTGATTTAAGCATTTTTCAGATATTTAGAGTAGAATCTAGACCAAAAACCTGTGGTAAATCTAGTTTTAACAGTAAACAAGTAAAATAATCTGTTAATTTGGCCAGCAAAATAATATTATTTTTGTTTTTTGAGGCGAGATTATCCAGCTATTCACATTTGGCAGATTATTTAGCTTGTTTAACACAAAACTCACTTTATTTTGACATCTTAAACCAGACAAAAGCTTCTTGATTGAAGCATTTTTAAGATATTCAGAATAGAAACCAGACCAAAACCGTGTGGTAATTCTAGTTTTAACAGTAAACAAGCTAAATAATCTGCTAATGTGGCCAGCAAAATCATATTATTATTATTATTATCATCCAGCTATGCACATTTAGATTATTTAGCTTGCTTTAAGGACAAATCTCACTTGCTTTTGACATCTTAAACAAGACTTGATTTTTATATTTTTAGATATTCAGAAAAGAAACAACAAAACATCTGTGGTAATTCTAGTTTTAACAGTAAACAAGCAAAATAATCTGCTAGTGTGGCAAGCAAAATAACATTATTATTCTTTTTGAGGCAAGATTATCCAGCTATCCACATTTGGCAGATTATTTCACTTGTTTAACACAAAACTCACTTTATTTTGACATCTTAAACCAGACAAAAGCTTCTTGATTTAAGCATTTTTAAGATATTCAGAATAGAAACAAGACATAAAGAATCTGGTAATTCTAGTTTTAACTGCAAACAAGCAAAACAATCTGCTAATGTGGCCAGCAAAATCATATTATTATTATCCAGCTATGCACATTTAGATTATTTAGCTTGCTTTAAAGACAAAACTCACTTAATCTTGACACATTTGTGAAAACACGACAACATATTATGCTTGTCAATGTAAAAAACGTCTTAATTTTAAGCATTCTGAGATATCTGGCCAAGAAACAAGGCGAAAAAATCAAGCATTTTTAACCACAGACTGCCTGTGGTAATTACAGACGCTAGTTTTAACTGCTGAAGTGAACTCCGTGCACCTCTTATGGCTGAAATCTTCAGCGGTGAGACTCGCGTCGCATCAAGCACACAGAAAACTCCTTCATATTTGGAGAGCAAGAGTCTGGCAACCTCTAACCCTTAGGGGCCCCATCTTTCTGTCTCTCTGACCCAGCACCCGGCTGACCCCGCACCGCTCCGGGTCTGGATGAAGCATGACCTAGTCTGTCTGGAGGGGGTTTGACGCTTTTGTCTCGCTGTCTGCCTTTTTTAACCCCCACCGACACTTGCGTGAACGCACCCTTTTGCACGTGAGGCGTCCTGCAAACTCTCCAACTCGGACGAGGCTGATGTAAACCTGGCAACCCGGCTCATTCACAAACCGAGTGGATCTAAGAGGGGATGATAATAGTTGTGTCTGGATGTGCGAGAAGCCCTCATTCAGGACTCGGAGAACAGAAAAGCAAACATAACGGCGGAATGCACTGAATGAACTCCGGCGCCACCGCCGCGTCACACTCCAAACCACTTCTTTTTTTTTTTTTCGGCAACAACAAAAGAGACTGAAATGAGATCAAGTAAGAGTGAATGTCAAATTAAAAGTACTCACCTGTGCTGTACGCACACCGGACGTCACGCTGAGCTTTCAGAATTACAACAACAACAACAAAAAAGTAGCCTCCAGTCATTCTTGAACGCCAAAATGAGTTAACTTCCAGTCTTTTATATATATACATATATATATATTTGTTCTCTCCATACAATTCTTTTCACACACTTGTGAAGTGCACACATGCAGTCGGTCTCAAAGCAAAACTGTGGGTACACTGAGTCCTCAGCCGGTCCCACACACACACACACACGCACTCACAGCCTCGTCTCAGGCTGCTGGAATGAGCTATATATGACTGGCGTGATAGACAGGGGCACTTTCTGTCAGGTGACACGCTGACTCTGCTCTGATTGGCTGGTTGAGGCCAGCCCTGGGGCTAGAGCGCTGTGATTGGCTGCTTTTTGAGGTTGCTGGAAAAAAAAAAAAAAAAGAAAGCTCTCAGTATTCCAGACTACTGTTCTGGCCGGGGCAGGGCAGGACTGCTGCACTCTGTCAGCCCTAACACTAATCATTGTGAGGGAAAAGGAGAGAGGAAAATACTGTTTAGCCGCTGCAGACAGGAATAGTCGGAGCTGCAATTCTTGCTTGGCTATTTCGCCTCAATAAAAGTGTCAAGATGTGAAGTCCAGGACGCAGGGCTGATGATGGTTGGCGGATTCTTTCGCTTCTGTGCTTGTCATTTAATAAAGTGCTCAGCGTAAATGAGAACCTCCTTTTCAAAAGGAATATTTTTAGCCATTTCTCAGTAAATATAGACGATATGTATTATATTCAATTCATTGCATGTTTATTTTTGTAGCGCTTTTACAATGTGGATTGTCAAAGCAGCTTATCATAGAAGTGCTAGTGAATTGAAACCGTGTCGGTGCACTCAAGTTCAGTTTAGTGTGGTTTAAATATCACTGTTAGAAGTCTAAACATTGAAGAGCAAATCCATCAATGCACAGCTCAAGTCCTAATATTATACATTATAGTTTTCTTTATTGTTTTTTTAACCATTAAAACACAGAGACTTACAAATTTGGTCCAACAAATATACAGTTGAAGTCAGAATTATTAGACCCCCTGTTTATTTTTTCCCCAATTTCTGTTTAACCGAGAGCATATTTCTTCAGCACATTTGTAATCATAATAGTTTTAATAACTCATCTCTAATAACTGATTTATTTTATCCTTGGCATGATGACAGTAAATAATATTAGACTAGATATTCTTCAAGACACTTCTATACAGCTTAAAGTGACATTTAAAGGCTTAAATAGGATAATTAGGTTAACTAGGCAGGTTAGGGTAAATAGGCAAGTTATTGTATAATGATGGTTTGTTCTGTAGACTATCAAGAAAAAATATATAGCTTAAAGAGGCTAATAATATTGACCTTAAAATGGTGTTTAAAAAAATTAAAAACTGCTTTTATTCTAGTAGAAATAAAACACGAAAGACTTTCTCCAGAAGGAAAAATATTATCAGACATACTGTAAAAATCTCTTTGCTCTGTTAAACATCAATTGCGAAATATTTAAAAACGAAAAAAAAATTCAGGGGGGGCAAATAATTCTGACTTCAATTGTACATAACATCTGACTATGCAAGATACAAAATACAAACAATAGGGTATATGCCGAAGCATGCTAACAGGACTTTTAGTTTGCCAGTAACCTGGGTTAGGTGCTTCCGGTGAACAGTATGCCAATGCAAAAACCGGCGCATTTAAGGTCTGTTTTCTTTAAAAATGAGCGATCTCCACTGGCTGAGTGATAAAGTGGGTCTCTGATCATACAAGAAGCACTGCATTACATTACATTTTTTCCCGCCATGTCTTTATAATATGAGCATTTACTTTACCCCAGTATATTCAATGGAGCTTCTGCGCTAGCCTGCAGATTCTGACGGGCGCGTGCGAGCAAACGGATTTTTGTCTCGTTTTACGCTTGAGCAACTAAATGAATGCCAAAGTCTATTTAGCTGAGTGTATTTTAATTACATTACAACATCGATGCTGTAAAAGGAACCGTATAAAATGGAAAAAAACTCACAATAACAGGTCACCGGAAGTGTATCAGTATGGGAACAACACTAGCTCGGCATACACCCTATACTCACAGAAGTAAAATAATAATAGAGAGATACAATTAATAAAAATGAATAATAAGCATAAAAATAAAACAAAAAAATGATAAGAAAGGGAAAAAATACAAAACATAAACTAAAACAAAACACTGGTCCTCAGTTTTATTCTACATTAGTCTGATTGTCTTCAATTTAAATATCTCCTGTAGAATTGAGGTTTTAGTCACCAAACATATTTAGGAATATACAGATAATGCATTTAAACTCGCGTGAGTTATTGCAATTGTTCTTGCTTAATTTCAAATAAATTATAGTTGAAGTCAGAATTATTCACCCCCCTTTGAATTTTCTTTTCTTTTTTAAATATTTCCCAAATGATGTTTACCAGAGTAAGGAAATGTTCACAGTATGTCTGATAATATTTTTTCTTCTGGAGAAGATCTTATTTGTTTAACTTCGGCTAGAATGAAAGCAGTTTTTAATTTTTTAAAACACATTTAAGGACAATATTATTAGCCCCCTTTAAGCTATTTTTTCAATAGTCTACAGAAGAAACTATCTTTATACAATAACTTGCCTAATTACCTTAACCTGCCTAACCTAATTAACCTAGCTAAGTCTTTAAATGTCACTTTAAGCTGTATAGAAGTGTCTTGAAGAATATCTAGTCTAATATTATTTACTGTCATCATGGCAAAGATAAAATAAATCAGTTATTAGAGATGAGTTATTAAAACTATTATGATTAGAAATGTGTTGAATAAATCTGCTCTCCGTTAAACAGAAATTGGGGAAAAAAAATAAACAGGGGGGGGGGGAGAATAATTCAAAGGGGCTAATAACTTTGACTTCAACTGTTTATGTATAAGTTTCTCTTGATTTTCCTTGTTTATTAATTTTTAATTAAAACTTCAACATATTTATGTACACATTTTTGCTCTGTGATCTTCAGTTTTTGTTCGACTATTCATCATTATTCATCAGTTTTGTCTCTTGTACTTGACCAATCTCATGTATACACACACGCGTAGAATATTGTGAAGCATCCTATAGAACATTTCCATTTAAAAGAGAGAGATCTTTGATGACGTGTACTCGGTGTGCCTTTAAAATGAGAAATGCAAAAAAACCCTTTTGGTCTTTTAATAAAATCTTTCATCATTTATTTTTCTTTTAAGTAAACAAGATAACTGTTCATGGCTGGTTTCTGTGTGGAGTTTGCATGTTCTCCCCGTGTTGGTGTGGGTTTCCTCCACAAGTCCAAACACATGCACTATAGGGGAATTGGGTAGGCTAAATTGTCCGTTGTGTATCTGTGAATGAGTGTGTTTGCATGTTTTCCATTGATGGGTTGCAGCTGGAAGGGCATCCACTGCGTAAAACGTATGCTGGAGAAGTTGGCGGTTCATTCCCCTGTGGCAATCCCAGATTAATTAAAGGACTAAGCTGAAAAGAAATAGAATGAATGAACGATAACTGTTAATTTTGTTCAGCATATATTATTATTATTTTAACTAGAAACACAAAACAAAAAGGATGCATCATGGCAATACATCACAAACAAATGAAGTACTTATTATGTCTTACCAAATATAGCGTGTCGGACTGACCTGAAAAGCAGTGAATTAGAGTGATTAGCTCACATGTTTATTAGCTCACTTAAATGCATCCTACACAAAAATATTGAAACAAAATCAAAAATGAAATTAAGCATGATCTGATTAGTTGCTTCAGGGACATCACTGACTCCCCATCACTAGTTGTCTCAGTGACGTATGTCTCCATAAACCTGGTTTGAGTTTTACTATGTGCATGTGACTGGAAATTTCCGAGTGACAGCCGTCAGCGGAGCAGTATTTACTATGTCACATGTATTGTAATATTTGCGTTGTTGATTATTTTGGTTAATTTGATACTTTTAAAGGAACAAATGTTTTAAATTTGCATAAAATCCTTCATCTGTTGCGCTTTATAAATTGTTTTTATTTTGGTAATTTCTCAATTGAAATTAGCGCCGCAACTATACAACATTATCCCCAGCAGATTTGGAAATTGGTTGTTGTGTTATTTAGGATACAGTTATTGAAGATAAGATACAATATGTTTATTTTTTATTTTTTTGTAAATCATACTTAATTTTTTTTTTTTAAATTAAACAATGCAGCAGAATTTAAATAGAGAGACAGTACAAGTATTTTATTTTATATGTATTTTACCTTGTATTTATTACTCATTCATTCATTTTATTTTCGGCTTCGTCCCTTTATTAATCTGGGGTCACCACTGTGGAATGAACCACCAACTCATCCAGGTTATGCAGTAGATGCCCTTCCAGCTGCAACCCACCACGGGGAAACACCAGTACAGTCTTGCATTCACACTCATACACTACGGACAATTTAGTTCACCAATTCCCCTATAGCTCATGAGTTTGGACTGTGTGGGAAACCGAAGCACCTGGAGGAAACCCACGCCAACACAGGGAGAACATGCAAACTCCACACAGAAATGCCAACTTTTCTTTTCATATATATATATATATATATATATATACAGGGCTTAACATTAACTTTTTTGACCACCAGCCACTGTGGCTAGTAGTTTTCCAACATTACTAGCCACTCGACATTTTCACTAGCCGCAATTTTGTTGTTGGGAAAATATATTTTATGCGCATAAATATGACTTTGACATGCTAAAATTATTTGATTTAGAGTTTGCGTTATCTCTACATGCCTCCTCATTCATTTCACTTTTTGTGTGTCGTATATGAGCTCGCTCAATAATCATGAGCTAATGGGTCAGGGTTTCATATATTACAATTAGTTTTATAATTTTCAGAGCCCAAAATGAAGGATTTACCAATTTATCTCTGACCACACCATAAATAAACAGTTCATTATTTCTTAGCCACAAATTTTAAAAGTGTGAAAACATGCAAAATATAGCTGAATACTAAACTTTTTATTTAACAAAACATATGCACAGTCATGTGTCCTGGCTAAAGGTCACCAGTTAACTACACATAAATGGGGAGTTATTCTCCCATTAAAGCAACGTTATTGTAAAAAAATGATAATTAAACCATATTAATGCAAAAGAACGTAGGTAAAAACATACTGTGTATTAATGAAAGGATGATCACACACGCATGGTTAATGATAGACGCCTAAATGATCTATTCAAAGAATGGTAAAACCGAAAGCAACTGGCGCTGCTTACAATAAGTCAACTCTAGAACTCTTGAGAGCAGGACTGTAGGTGCATGTTCCTCCCTTTTTGTTCAGTCTATTTGAAAGAGAATCGATCGCATCAGTTGTGTTTCTAGACACAGTTGCTTCACAAAAGGAAACGGGAGCGCGCACGCGTTATAAACAGTCACGCGCATCACCTCAGCTGTTAGCGCGAGTGATTATCCTCTCAT